GCGATAAAAACGATTCTCTTCCAGCGGGCCTTCCCAGACTGACCTCTGCCCTAGACAGAACTAACTGCCTATGTGACCTACCTCCCCTAGACATTTCTACTTTTTTTTTAGTTATAGGGATTTTATTTTTGTAATTTTATATCGTAGGGCAGATGGGGTGAAGGGGTGGTGGGTTCGGGGATTGTTTCTTGTTATTTATTTCTGTATTTGTTTTAATTTTTGCTGTTACCCATCTCGATTCCCAATAGGGAGAAACAGGATATAAATTATTATTATTATTATTATTATTATTATTATTATTATTATCCAAAAGTGCAAAGATATACAACTGAGCACTATAGCTAGAACCGTCCAAACCTTGTATTCCCCATCACCATGTATAGATGTGAGAGCTTGATAGCAAAGAAAGACAACAGAAAGAAAATCAACGCATTTGAGATGTGGTACTGAAGAAGGCCTCATTCCCACTAAATAATAAACTGGTTTGCAAACCAGTTTGAACTGGTTTAAATGGCCCTTCTTCACACTTGTTGAGGGGGCCCCAGCGCTCAACCCATTTCAACCGTTTTTTCCGGTTCCACTGAATTCCCTGCATCTTTTTAAATAAATCAATTTAGCACTAGTGTGAACAGGATGTGGATCGGAATCAGTTCCCTGTGGCACAGTCACTTCTATGAGGTGAAGCCATGTTGAATTGATCCATCACTGAATGTGAATGTGAAATGGATTAAGCTGAAACAGGTAGGTAAATCAACTGGCTTGAATAGTATGAACATCTATTTGACACTAAATCGCATTAGCAATTCGACTCCAAAACTGATTTATTTTGCAGTGGGAATGTGGCCGAAGAGTGCTGAGGGTACCATGGACAGCCAAAAAGACAAACAAATGGGTCCTTGAACAGACCAAGCCTGAATTCTCCCTGGAAGCCAAGATGTTCAAATTGAGGCTGCTGTAGTTTGGCCACATCATGAGAAGGCGTGATCCATTAGAAAAGACAATAATGCTAGGAAAGTTTGATGGTAGTAGAAAGAGAGGAAGACGGCACAGCAGATGGATGGACTCAACCAGTGGGTGAATAAATCAATAATAAATACACTACCCCAATGTGCATTCAGCATCTGCTGGATCAACCGGTCCTTCAATATGTGGTCTGCTACAAAGTGCAGTAGATCCCACGCTGCAGAATTAATGCAATTTGACACCACCTTAATTGTCATGGCTCCATCCTACAGAATCCTGGGATTTGTAGTTTGGTTCTGACACCAGAGCTCCTGACAGAGAAGGCTAAATATTTCACAAAATGACAAATCTTACCAAATGACAAATTAGAGTCGGGAAGTACGTTCAGCTCTCTTCTGGCTGCGTGTGCCAGTTCTCAATTGGGCATCCTTCTCATCTGAGCCAGCAATATATATTTTTTGTAATTAAATCATTCACACATTTGGGGGGAAATGGTAGTTAAGATGTTCACATCTTGACGCAGTAAAGCTATGAGGTAACAGAACTCCAGCATTTGGGAATCTCCTCCTCTTTTAACGTTAATGATGCATTTAGTAATTCATCTCCTTGGAAACACGAACCTTCAAAGCATTTATAATGACTTAAGATCTCTTTATAATGATTTAAGATGAGGCACCAAGGGAGCAGCAAAAAATGTATAAAATTCACTCATAAAGCCATCCACACCTGGGGATTTCCCAGGTCTGACCATAGTATCACACGCTTAAATACATCTTCCAAAATGGACTTATTTTAGGGGAGGATCTATACTCATTGCTTAGCTTTTTTACTCATAGGGAATCCAGGAAAATGTTTGCATCGCTGCCTGATCACATTCTGCCTTATAAATATCTATATAAGAAGAGCTTTTTTACTTCTTTCAGGGAGGTCAGACATCCTAAAATGAAGATTTATCCATCTGCTACTATTTTTCAGGTCCTCCAGTTTATTGAGCAAACTGTCTGTGAGGACCTGCAGATCCTGGACTCTATGATTTTGTTTTAAGCTTAAATCTGAAACTCTGTGCATGTTTGTGTCTGTACATGTCAGTTTTGCCAAAAGAACCACTCGTTCCAGGGGGCATGCTTATCAAATTTGCAGATGACACCAAATTAGGACAGTTATCTAATACCCCAGAGGAGAGGATCAAAATTCAAAATGACCTTAATAGATTAGAAAGCTGGGCCAAAACTAATAAAATGAATTTCAACAGGGAGATATGTAAGATACTACATTTAGGCAGGAAAAAATGCAATGCACTAATATTGGATAGGGAATACCTGGCTTCCTAAGAGTTCGTGTGAAAGTGAACCAGGTGTCCCAGTAGACCACAAGTTGAACATGCGTCAGCAATGTGATACAGCAGCAAAAAAAGCCAATGCAATTCTAGGCTGCATCAATAGGAGTATAGTGTCTTGATCGAAGGAAGTAACAGGGCCATTGTATTCTTCTTTGGTCATGGCTCACCTGGAATACTGTGTCCAGTTCTGGGTCCCACAAAGGATGCTGAGAAACTGGAGTGAGTCCAGAGGAGGGCCACCAAAATAGTGAAGGGTCTGGAAACCATGCCTTATGAGGAGAGACATAGGGAGCTGGGTATGTTTAGCCTGGAGAAGAGAAGGTTAAGAAGGGATATGATAGCCCTCTTTAAATATTTGAAGGGATGTCATATTGAGGATGGAGCAAGCTTGTTTTCTGCTGCTCCAGAGAATAGGACCCAGAACAATGGATGAAAGCTACAGGAAGAGATTCCACCTCAACATTAGGAGGAACCTCCTGATGGTAAGAGCTGTTCAACAGTGGAACACACTCCCTTGGAGTCTCCTTCTTTGGAGGTTTTTAAATAGAGGTTAGATGGCCATCTGTTGGGGGTGATTTGATTGTGTATTCCTGCA